TGTGGGGAAGGGGGTGGGTGTGTGGGCATAGGCAACACATCAGTGGGGACATGAGAAGGTACATTTTCTCCCCCCTGGATTTCTGCACCCACAGTGGGACATGGGGCTGCAGCCTGGCTGGACCAACGTCAGGCAGGAGCTACTTCCTCCACAGCCCAGCAGGCAGGACTCTGCTCAGAATGGAGTGCCATGCTGCTGTGGCTGCTGATATGAGGCATGCCACCTGGCAGCAGTGGAGGAGCACAACTCCATGCTGTTGCAACTGGAAGCCCTACACCAGCCACACTGCCAAGGTGAGGTGCAGTGGCATGGAGTTGTGCCCCCCTGCACAGTTCACTGTTGTGATTTGTCTTTAAAACATCCTCAGCAAACATGTACTGCCTGAATGGCTCATCTCTAGCCCTGAAATGGATTATGGGAGGCATAGATTGATGCGTGATTAGCAGGGATCCTGGTTTTCCCTGGAAAAAAAAATCCCTGTTTTTTTTCAGATTTAAAAAAAAAAAAAGTAACCCAAAATTCACATTTTTCTGATTTAAGATGAAACACCACTATATAGTGGTGTTTCATCTTAATCATGGAAAAATGTGGATTTTAGGTTTGTATTTTTAATCTGAAAATTGGGGAAAAAATTTTTCCTCTGAGAACCAACATTTCTGGTCATCAGTAAATGTCCATGTTCTAGCAACCTTTTCCTCTGTTAGGCATCCACCCTTATACTTTTTGTGTTACTCCACCTTATTTTCTTGCCAATGTTTGTAAGTGCTTGATCCTTCTGCTGCTTTACTGCCTGCAATTTAACTATGCTGTTGGGTATTTCTCGCTTCAACATTTTTTTTGAAATTCTTTCCAAATTTCAACAGCACCCAGAGCAATACAGCAGCAATCTTTCTGTAGCTTGTCCAAGGCTATGGAAATAGGTTTTAGTGTATTCAGTATATCATCTACATTTCTCTTTAATCCCATGTTAACTACTCTAGTCATTATACATGCATCAGTTCTGTCAAGATTTTCTTCATAGATGGTCATCAGAATCGGCCAGTTCTTAATAAACAGCTCAAAGCAGCCAACCACTGAATTCCATCATACATCTTTGGAGAGAATTAGCTTGGATTCCCCCAGCTCTGGTCAGTGAAGCAGAAGCAAATTTTGTTGTTAGGTAAATATTCTTTTCAATTTCAACATTTTCCTTTGTTCCTGGAGTACTTCAGTCGTCTTAAATCTAAGACGCATCAAATGAACACTGCGGTCGCATGTTATAAGTTTCAGGTTTGCTTCATTATCTTCTACAGTTCTTCTCATTTTTGCTACATTTGCAGCATTGCTGGTGACAGCGTTACACACATGACATTTGAGTTTTTGCTCAGGTCTTGTTGTAGCTTTTGCTGCTAGTTCTTTTAAATGGTTTGCAGTATAGACATTTCCTGATGTATCAGTTGTGTCTGTGAGATTAACAGTCCTGTCTTCTGTTGTCACCCAAGCACATACTACTGGGTTGTTGGGTACATTACAAGAAACATTGAAGGGAAACGTGTTTATCTGAGTCTTGATGAATGGAGCACACTGTTCAGTTTCCTTCTCATACACTGTATCCAGAAGCATTCCAGCAATACCTGTTCTGCTGGATGGAGTGTAACCTGGTTGCAATGATTGAACCACTCAGTGAAATGTTTGTTCTGGACAAGATGAAAAGAAGAACTTGTTGCTAGTTCATTTCTGCAGTCTTTTCATCTATGTTGTCCTGATGGACTTTGCTGGTCCTAATTATGAACTCATCCATAGCTTTACTTGGTAATGAAGAAAGTCTCTTTTTGGATGCAGGTAATTCACTAAGCAGTGTTTTGTTGAAGTATTGCTGGTGGTACCAGTAAATTATTCTGAAGTTGCAGACATTGCGGATGATGAATGTTCATAACTTCTTGCATCAAACCTGGACCTGGAAACAAAATGGTTTAAAGAAAAAAAAACCTCTCACTGAGTAGTACTCGGTGCAGCTCCACACCAAAACCAAGACCACCCCAACCTCAGTGATTAGGCTCCAATGTGCTGCTGATGCTATAGTGTGTGCTCACTCGGAAGCAGACCTTGAGGCAATTTGTCAGTCTTTTGTCAAAGCATACGAAAAAATGGGACTGATGCTTAACTGTCAGAAACTTTAAGGTCCTGCATCAACAAGCTCTTAATGACCAGTGCCCAGCTCCAATACTTCAGATTCAGTGAGGCTCTGGAGAAAGTTGAGTATTTCCTGTACCTTGGAAGCCATCTCTCACAGCAGGCTGACATCGCCATTGTCTCAAATGTGCAAGTGCAGCCTTTGGACACCTGCAGAAATGGGTGTTTGAAGATCATGACATCAGCTCTGAAACCAAGTTCACAGTTTATCAAGCAATCGTGTTCCCCATCTTACTGTATGGAGCTGGGACATGGACAAATGTACAGGGGACACCAAGGCACTGGAGAAGTACCATCAATGCTGCCTGCAAAAGATGCTTCAAAGTCAGTAGATAGATAGATGCACCAGCATTAGCATCCTCTTGCAAGCAAACACCACAAGCATTGGGGCAATGATTGTGTGGCATCAGCTCTGCTTGGCCAGCCACGTCGTCTAGATGTCTTGACTCCACGCTACCAAAGGAAGTTTTATTCTCCTAGCTCAGTCAAAGTGTACACTCGAAGAGGGCAGAGAAAGTGCTTTGAGGACGTCCTTAAGGCCAACTTGAAAAAATTCTACATCATCTGGTAGAAAGCTATTGCCCAGGACCTCCCCCAAATGAAGGAAGAGTCTACTGCATAGATCTCCGTACTTGGAAACCTTACGATGACAACAGGAGACGGACAAGTGGTAGAAACAGTATGTCACGGACTGGATCAAGAACCCAGAGCCACCTCCATACCTCACAGAACAGTGTGCCCGAGCTGCAACAGAGTCTGTTGATCCTGCATAGTTCTCCTCGGCCATCTTCAGGCCCACGGAAAGGACAGTCATGGAAGACTCTCATCAACTGTGAGGGATTGACGATGATGATAATACTCTGCAGTGCTTAAAATTGTAAATGAAAGATTCCTTCTGCAGCATGTTTTTGTGTTTTTAACCGGTGTTTTAACTTGCGTAACTTTTTCAAATCCAGTTCTATTGGGCAAATATTCAACAAATCATAACGGTTATCTTGTACTTAAATGCTTTTCTTTGTTTTTCAAGCTGTTTTATATTGGTATTCTTACTTTAAAATGGATAAATTCCTATTAACTCTTTCTTTACTTTGGGCTTGCTTGTATATTTGCTTACACTGAGCAATACAACTCATTTCAGAAGCACAGGGGTAATACTAAAATGTGTAACTGACACAATTCCTACAAACTAGCACATGTATTAGATTTTAAACACAAACATTTTGAAGTAATCCATCCAAAATAACTAACGTTGTCATTTACTAACATTGCAGTATATGGTAGGTAATCTGTATGAATGGTTCAAAAATAGTGAACTTACTAATTGATCCAGATGCCTTGGACATGTCTATATCGCCATCTTCAATTTCATTGCCTTCAGAGTATTTTTCATAATGTTGTCATTCGGGCTACCAGGCCTTGCATCTCTGTACGATTTACATTTGGCATGTTTCTCTTTCCCAGTGGCACAAGAATTCCTTGAAAATATTACTATATAGGGTCTTTTTTGCGACCTGCACCCATAGCAGTGTTTTTTCCCTCCAGCTTCCATGTGTTGAAATCAAGACTATTCTATGTTCCACAGAAGGTTGTTTGTTCCTTTTCCTACGCTGTCATGAACCCAGTGTTGATTCTTTCTGTTCTCACTCTGCTCCTTCTCCCTCCTTCACACGAGAAATTAGCAACATACCAAGACACCCATCTGTGACACAACCTCCCACACCCTTCATCTTCTTTTCCACTCCTCCTTTCCCCTGCTCTCCCACCCCCAAACAGTCCATGATTTCTGCTATTGTAACCCCCTAGCCTTTTTGTGCTGCAGTATTTTAGTTTAGAGAAAGAAAGCACTTGAAGTTGTTTCCATCTCTGTACATATGCAAAGGGACCAAGAAAGGTCATTTAACTGAAGTATCCAGAACCACTCAGAAGTAGGGTTGGTCCCTTCTTGGTTGTTTTTTTTCCGAGCACATTGGGTACAGAATCATAAATATTCATAATTTGAGAGCTGAGCTAATCAGAGCTCAGGCTGAGGGAATGAAATGGGAGCTTGATACCATCCAGGTGGGCTCAGTGGATAATATTGATCACAGAGTACACAATGCTGTCAGGAGCCAAGTTCCAACACCTGTGGACTTCTACTGATGCTTTACATTCAGTAGGCCCTGTATCCCTTGCAGGGTTAAGTTCCTAATGCATGAAATATTGTCATATTTTTATTATGCCCTTAATTGAATGCATGTGTGGCCAAGTCACTCACTTTAAGGTGTAAGGCCCCTGACGCATTATACTTAAGACATTAATTGGTTAAATTACAAGTACTACCATCTGTTCACTGTGGAATAAACCAGTGATTCTCAACCAGGGTGCCAATGCTCAGGCTTATCTCTGCCTGAACGGTCCCCCACCTCCACTGCCCAGCCCCTTTGCAAGGAAGTACTGTACTATATTAACTCAGTTTTTGAAAGTGGGTGCCACTCCATTCACGAAATTCATGGAGGGGTACTTCAAATCCAAAAATGTTGAGAACAACTGAAGAAGACGCATTCAATTCACAGGACGTCTATGTAAACCCCCTCTTCATAAAGAACAGGCAAATTCATGGCAGCATTTGACTAGAGAGTAAACTAGTCCTAGAAAAAAAGTAAAATTGGTATAACTCCTTAAGTTTTGCTGCCTTCAGCCCCATGTTTCCCTTACTCTTAACTAAAGCTTTATCTCAAAACTATAGCTTCTAAGACGTATGTAGCTTTTAGTGAACTAATCCCTAGATATTTCCTTGGGTATCTGGACCCTACTTTAATTTCCATTTTTATTCCCTGTCTGTTTTCTAGGTATGATGCAGAACCAAGTCCTGTAGACCATCAGAAGGCTAACGTCCTAAAATTTCAGGTGGATAAAAAGCCTTTCTTTGAGATGCCTTCCCATCTTGCTGATGTAGACTTGGATGAGTATGACTATGAAGAGGACTTTGAGTGACTGCAGTCAACATTTGCAGAAGAAAAAAGGACAGTCTGCAGCAGGTCTGCCAAACACCTATACAGATTATCAGTGTTTTTTGTTTCCTTAGTTCTTTGTGTTACAAAATATTATTTAATCATTATACTGCCTTTTAAAGAAAATGACGTGCATTTGTATGGAATGATGAAAGTTTTTGTATTTATTCAATAGTCTATAGCTTGTAAAATAGATTAAAATATTTATTTATAGTTGTTGCATAATTTCTTAATGGAAGAGTAAAGATGTTTGAGTTCTTTAAAGTACTCCACGATTTTTTTTTAAAAAGATGATTATATAATTCTCTAGAGTTTTTATGTAGTGCACTGATCACCTCCATCTTATACCTGTGAATGGAAGCATCTGTTCTGGGATGGAAAATTAGGAGACTGTTTAGATGACTTCCAGGGCTCTTTCTCCCATGACAAAAATCTAGAACTTGGCAAAGAAGAGGGGCATGGCTTTGAGTCCAGTGATTCAGCCTGTCAAGTAATAGTGTACTCGGAAGTAACAAGCTGAATATATTTGTGCAATTGATTAACTACTAATGCCTGATATGAGCTGCTCCTCTTCATGTCCACCCCTTTCATTCTTCTTGACTTAAACTTTGCCTGTCCTTTCATTGATGTCCAAAACAAAAAAACATTCTTTAATGCTGAATTCTATTCAAGTATTCATGCTTGATCCCAAATCTGTCTGTTCTTCCAGACTGAAGGAACCAATTTTTAAACCCTTTGTATAAATGTTACTTGAGTTGTGATGTGCACTAACTTGTGGGCATTCAGTGCTTTTGTCTGTTTCCTCCTCTTCGGTTGTTAGCTTATTGACACATTCCATAGAAATTCAGTGTCACAGCAGCTTGAAATTGTTGCCTCACTTGCCTACATGGGGCAAGAGATTGCAAACAAAAATGTTTTGTACATTGTACATGAAAACCTGTTTAATACTAAATATTGCTGAAAACTTCCCATATCTAAATTTTCACTTTTGCATTTATGTATTCAGGGCACTACAACCTTAAGATTTTTTGAATAACAAAAATATTAACTTGTACAGTAAGCAGTGTAGATCTGTTTTAAAAATCATGTTTGTATTTTCAAATAAAGATTTTCATACATGTAATCAGTTGGTATTACTGTATTCCTGGCATGCATTTCATACAACAAAATGTCTTAATATTTAAAACCCCTTTAAACAGTATGGGTTATAGAAATACGCATTTTGTCGTTTGAATGTACAGTTTGGATAAATTTGGCACATTTGAAACTAATCAGAAATATCCACTGGCTTGTTTTACTTCCCAAAGATTTGCACACTTCTAAGCTGCAGAAAGGGTGCTGTTCCACTCAACTTAGGGTCTTCTGTAAGACGCTTAGTAGTTCGTCATCTCATGAATGTTACATATTGAAAGTATACACTTCTCAGCATGAGCTGTAGTGTTAATTTCCAGTATCAAAGTGTAATAGGAGAAAATAATTCTCATTCGAATCACAGATAGAATCTATAAATAGAACCTAATTTACTGATTTTTGCAAATTGTCTACAGGAAGGTCAGATAAATTTAACTTCTGTAATCTTGATTAACTGTCTTGTAACCACCATCTTAAGCCAAACTTCTCAAGAGAACTTCTGGAGAGCTTAGCTTTGAGCTTTGTCATCACTCCCTGAAATACCAGGGAGAGGGATGAGTTACCTAGCTGTGAGTAAATTGACCTTCCAGAGCATGCTCAAATACAACTCTGATACATGAAGACTGGACCTTCCTTGCCTGGATTCCCTTTTATAAAGATGTCAACTTGAGTGTCTGTTTACAAGTACTGTTGCTACTAATACCCACTTCTCACCCAGAGCTGACTTCTCTACATTTTAAATGCAGAATTCCTAGTCAGAAAAGTAACACTGATGGTGTGAAGTTCCTGTAAAACTTGCTTTTGTAGGAAAGCTATCCAGACTGCCTTGTGCAGGAATTAAGTTGGGGTCTGTAAGCCAAACCTGCTCTCTGTTAACACTTCTTACAAACTGCTTTCTCTTCCATGTAATGGGCAGCATTGGTACTGCCTCCAAAACATTCTAATGATGCATAAATTGATAGAATCCTTCTTGCTTTCTCACACTTGTGTTCAATTCCTGCCAAACTAAAAGAAACAGAAGGGTAAATCTCAGACAACAGCCCACTGAGATCCCTCAGTGTGTTTTTGCATGTGCTGGAACACTTGGATTTGGAGATTATGTAGATTTAACAATACCTGTAGGATATACAGCACCTCTTCCTTGTGTTCTGCAACAAAGGGACAAAGGATGGTACATGCTTGCTCCTCAGTTCCACCTCATCCAAAATGCTAAGTTTCATGCAGTTCTGAAGAGGGGGAGGAAGTTGCAATGCAGATGTGTGCATGGACAATTTCTTTTGAGCTCAATAGCTAGTAAACATCTTACAAGTGACTCGTCTATATGCACAGCCTTGATATGAGTGACTTCAAATCAGTGTGGTGTGCGTGCATGTGTGGTTGGGGATGGTTAGAGTCCCTATGGCAAACAGACTGAAAGCCTTGTCAAATGTTTCTTCTCCTCAAGAGGCTTCTGTGATGGTGTAATGCAGAGGTGCTCAACCCCTGCTTCACTGGGGACATTGCTCCCCTACTGCCAAATTTCCAGGCCTGTGGGGAGCCCTGTACCCTACACACTATACTGGGTGTCCAGTCCTAGTGTGCAGGACCAGGTGGTGGTTGCATGGGCCTCAGTGCCAGATCCTGGGGGGGGAGGAGAAGGAGGCAGGCTTACAGCTTACCTACTCCTTGCTGAGGTTACTGCCACTATGAAAGCTGTTTTTTGTGGTGCAAGTCATTAGTTCAAAGAGCCCATCTGAGTTGTACCACTTAACACAGCAGGACACTACTAAGTGTACTTTTCTGCTATGAATGAGGATGGCTAATTGAAA